AAGTACAAGAAGACATTAATTTAAGTAGTGATAGATAATTCTTTCTAGCATACAGATTTAAGTTTCAGCTTTTGTTGGTAAAAGATAAGGTTTTCATTAGTTTGGTTTGAAGATTTGTATAAGAGAAAAGTCAATTTTGACGTTTTTATATTGTTGATAAATATATAGTAGATATATCATATTATCTTGCATGGAACTGTTCCTATTTTGCTGCGAATGAAAATTACCTTTGTAAATAACTTGAGAAAAATCAGATTAAAATCAACAAAATCGATGAAAAATCAACCAAATTTCCCGCAGTTTCAATTAATTATTAATAAATAATAACCAAAAAACTCTAAATTTCGTTGACTATTTGGATTGTTTTTAATTATAAGCGATTAAAATCTAACGAATAAGAGAGATTATCATTGATTTTTCCTATAATCATTGAAGACACATTCTGCATATTTCATCAGATTCCAACTGTTACAATCCATTTTTTCCATTAAATCATAATGGATTCTTATCGAAATTAATTGCAAGTCTATGAAATTATGATTATTCTGTTTTAAAACCAGTTAGAAATTGATGAGAAATCAATAAAAAGTGTATGATGTCAATCGATTTTGTTCTTATTTTTATTGTAATCTTTCGACTAGGACAGAAACCGGATAATTTATCATAAAAATGTGTTATTAGTATTTTTATCAAAATAAACAAAACGAAATAATTGAAAAAATAATTTGACTCGACTCGACTCGACTCGACAGTATTTTTAAATGACTCGGGCTTGACTCGACTCGAAAAATGGCTTGACTCGCCCATCCCTGCGGCATGGTCCGCTCTGCGTGTACCCATTTCAGGCTTACAGGATCTCTCCCTGGTCGCGCGCGCGCGTACGCGAAAATGAGCCGAAAAACAAACCGAAAAAGAAATTGAATAGCAATCGAAATGAATTTATTGAGCAAACAAAAAGAATAAATTACATTTTCTTTCGAATTTTTTCAAATGTTTCTTTATAGTCCGAAAGATGAGGATGAGTTGAAGGTAATTTCTCTTGTGCAATTTCAATCGTTTGTTGAATATTTTTCATTGCCATATTATATTGTCGAGTTGATAAATATAATTTTGCCATATTGTGATATACAACAGCTAAATCAGGATGATTTTTTGGTAATTTCTTCTGACGTATTTCTAATCCTTTTTGAAAATATGTCAATGCTGTTGTATAATCTTTCATTTCTCGATAAGTTTCACCTAAATTTATATATGCCAATGCACAATCTAAAGGATTACATTGAACATTTTCTTGAATATTTAATGCTTTTCTATGAAATAACAATGCCTTCTCATAATCACCCATTAATCGATGAACATCACCAATGTCACTGTATGTAGTAGCTTTATCTGGATGATTTTCAGATAAGGCTTTTTGACATATTAAGAGACACTTTTCGAAATTCTCAAGTGCTCTTGGATAATCTTTCATACTGCGATAAATCATTCCGAACCAGTTGTACGTAGTAGCCAAATCGGGATGATTCGGAGGCAGAGCTTGTTTTGTGATTTCCAAGTCCTTTTTGAAATATTCAAGTGCTTTCGAGAAATCACCCATGTTGTCGTATACTGAACCGATGTTGTTGTAGGAAGTAGCCAAATGGGGATGATTCGGAGGCAGAGCTTTTTCGAATATTTGATGTGCTTTTTCGTAAAATTCCAGTGCTTTCGAGTAATCCCCCATGTTGTTATACACTTGACCGATGTTGTTGTAGGAAGTAGCCAAATCGGGATGGTTCGGAGGCAGAGCTTTTTCTTTTATTTTATGTGCTTTTTCGAAAAATTCAAGTGCTTTCGAGTAGTCACCCATGCTGTTATACAGGAGACCGACGTTGTTGTAGAATATAGCCAAATCGGGATGATTCGGAGGAAGAGCTTTTTCTCTTATTTTATGTGCGTTTTCGTAATATTCAAGTGCTTTCTTGTAGTCACCCATTGTGCCATACACTGAGCCGATGTTGTTATAGGAAAGAGCCAAATCGGGATGATTCGGAGGCAGAGCTTTTTCTTTTATTTTATGTGCTGTTTCGTAAAATTCCAGTGCTTTCGAGTAGTCACCCATGTTGTTATATGCGAGACCGATGTTGTTGTAGGTATTAGCCAATGAAGGATGATCTTCTGGGAGAGTTTTTCGTTTGATTTTGAGAGATGTCTCATAATAGGAAGTTGCTTCTTTGTATTGTCCTTGGTCATCTTTCAACCATCCAAGTTGATGATAAAGATATGCTTTATCACTGTCGTTCGATGTCTGTTCTAGTAATGTGGTATACAATTCCTCGGCCTTGTCAAATTGACCTATTTTTAGCAGCAATTGACCCAACCGATACCACCCACTGCCACTGATCTCTTCTGCTATACTTTTGGTTAATCGACGGAGTTGTTGGTCATCATCTGCTGTAAGTTTAAGGTCCACTTCATAAAGTGAACTTTTCTTGTCAATTTTTCGAACGTCACCAATTCGAAAAACGGTGTGCATTGAGAAGAGAATTTCATCTTCTTGTGCGAAATCACTCAGCTCTCTAATGGAAGCGAATGGAGTTGATGACTCTGTGGGATCAATGATAATTTGAAAAAGAACACCGACGATATTGGGTGCTCCTAAATTACTTTCGGCGAAAAAATGCGAGACATTGCGATTTTTACTAGTGGATAAAAAATTATTGAACGAGATAAGTCCACCTTTGTTTTTAGCGATTTTTTCGAAATCTGCCGTCAATAATCCCTGCCCCCGATAAAGTAAAAATGTCTTACCATGATATTCATTGATTTGTTTGCTATGTAAATTTTCAATTTGTCGATGGACATCACATAAATAAAATCCCATTCTAATGATTATGTCACCATCAAGTGTTCGTAATGCTCGATTAAGCATCTTATATGTAAAGCATTGGCGTGTATACCACCATATCGCCAATGTTGGATGATAAGTACGCTGAAATTCATCAATAATTTTGAGTTCTGTTTTATTACCTTTATATTGTTCTTGGCAGAAGGTGACTAAATCTTTAATGGCTTGTTGACCATGATCCATATCAAGAAGAATTTCCTTGAATATTTGTGTATACATGAAGGATGGTTCTAGCTGATTGAGATCTTCGCTAGAACCTCCTTCATTGACGCCAATAATACTGACAGTCACCTGATCTTGATTACATTGTTTGACGGCTATTGCCAGTTTTTCACAAATACTTTTGATTGACGTATGAACGCCTTTAATTTTGGGCCAATGTTTGGCCCATTCTTGATGGCGTTGTTTATTGCCACAGAAGATATATATGGCATCTAGTTGTGGCATGCCATGAATTTCTGGTACGAGATGTTGGCCAAGGTAACCAGAGGAGATAACAAATGATGTGTCCTCACTGTTTTCTTGGAGCTTAGCAATACATTGTTCGGCTGTGGTCCATTGATTCACTTCATTAACGACACCGCGCAATTGCGCAAGTGTATT